TTGTTGATATCGGTTTTACTGAAAGACTGTTATTGCGTTTGATAATTAACACAGAACTTAGATTTAAATACACAAACATGTCTGTCAATATGAATTCAATAAATAATATGGTTGATTATTCTACTGGATACATAAACGAAGATGTTTATAAAAATAATGAAACACATAACAATTTGAATCAAATATTATACATATATTATATTCCAGATTTGTTATTAAAAGGAATTAACCCAGATATAAATTGTTACAACAATTATTTATTTCTAAATGATGAATTGTTAATTTTAAAAAACTTGTTATCACGTTTGAACGTTGAAGACAAAAAAAGAATTATTAATAACAGTATTAATGATCAACTACAATCAGAATATGACCAAACATTGATCGAAAAGACTAATTATATAACAAAAGTGCGTTTGTTGGACGTCTTTCAAATATTAAAAAACAATCAATTTTCACAACTTATTAAAATAGTTGACGTCCTTCTAACCATATTTCCTTCAACAAGTGATGTGGAAAGAACATTCAATCGAATAAACCAAATTAATCATTTAAACAGTCCATTAAAATTTACAGCAGAAAGATTGAATTATTCAATAAAAAGCAAAAAGACAATATACAAAATTAATTGTTAATTATTCGTATTTTTTATTTTTTATATTTGTAATTTTATATTTATAAAGTATTAACAATATATAAAATATATAGATTTCAATTAAAAAGTTTGTATATAGCAAAATTTGATTATATTTATTATTATTTAAAAATATAAATGTGAAATTTAAATTATTTATCTCAATTTTTTTAAAAAAATATATATAATTTTAATTAATGTTAAATGTTTATGATTATAATATAATAAATTTAAGTTTATTTTTTAGTAAAAAACGTGTTAAAAATTTAATAATAAAATTAAATGAAAACATAAATAATTCAAAAACAAATAATAATTTAAACTACAATTAATTCCCCGAACTTGTGGACGTTGTTTTTATATTACAAACTTTTTAAGCACAAAATGCTTTATATAAATAGTTTTCAGTCTTATATAAATAAAAAGTTTAAAAAGCCACACTATGATGTTTACGTACTTAAAAGATACCACTTTTAATTTTTTAGGCTGTTTTTAAATAAAAACATTGTGATAAACTAAGAAACATTATACACAAACTGTTGTTATTTAATTATTGATAATTGATAATCAATAGGTGACTAATTAAATTTTTAAGTTTATGATGTGGTGTTATTGAAATATAATTGTAAATAATTGTGTGTTGTAATATAAAAATAATTTAACAATAAAGAAAAAAATCAATTGTATATTTAATGTTTAGTTTAAATGAAATTATTAATAAAAAATAGTAGAATGAAACTTTTTATATTAAAGAATTTTGATGTGTTGACAAATAATTCTTTTTTTTACCATGTTTAGTAGTTTTTTGTTGATATGTGTGTTTTCCAATAAACATCGATTTTAAATTAATATTAAATTATTAACCAAATATAAAATTTGCTATTTAATTATTGTGGTTTTTTGAAAAAATTAAAAAAAACTAATTTACCGATTATTTATTTTTTTAAAAAACAAAATAAACAAAAAATATTTAGTAATTTACAAATTATGGTAACTTTATTTTAATTATCGGTTTAAAAAAATGTGTAAATAATTTTCCACAAAAAAACAAAAAATTAGCACAGAAAAAATGAATTGTGCCGACCCATTCCAAGCGGGAGTCACATTTAGTAACACAAAAATTACCAAATAAATGTCTTACCTAAATAACACCGAAAAATCAATTTTATATCAAATATTTTTATTTAATTGTGAACAATATACAATTTTTTTATACATTTCAAAACTCAAACAAATTTTTGTATATATAATAATCAAATCTTCAAAAATCATATTAAATGGCAAAACTTGACCCATTTCATATGATGATTGTCTCACAGTATTTTAGTGACATCTCTGATTTTAAAAACATTGAAAATGTACATCAGAAATATAAAGGAAATATGTTGAAGTTTCACTCCAACCCGATACCACTCACTCCAGAAATTCTTCCTCTATTCCCAAATGTCGATACTTTGAATGTCTGGAGTCTTCCCGCTGAATTTTATAATTTTTACGACTTAGTTGAAGACTCTCTTCATTCAGATTATAAAAAGAAAAAGACTCAAAAAAAGACTCAAAAAAAAACGCGAAAAAGTCAAAAATCTTTAACCCGAGAATTTGTTCATTTGAATATCTGGTATGTAGAGTCTTATAGTCGTTCTTTGATAACAGAAAATGGGAAAATATCATATAAAAATATTTGTTTGTTTGATTTTGAACGTAGAATGAATAATAACACAATCCCTCAAAACGTGAAAAGTCTTGGCGATAAGTGTTTTGCTTTTGAAAAAACGTTAAGCGAAATTATTATACCCGACAGTGTGACAAGACTCAATTATGAGTGCTTTACTTCGTGCACCAACTTGACTAAAGTTGTGCTACCAAAAACTTTAAAAGAGATTCGAGAACTTTGTTTTGATGGTTGCAAATCGTTGGAAGAAATAGAAATACCAGAGACTGTCGAAACAATCGGATATAATGCTTTTTCACGTTGTGAAAAAATCTCAAAAGTGGAAATACCTGGAAGTGTTAAAGTATTGAGAGAATGGACGTTCGCTGGATGTGTATCACTTAGAGAAGTGGTTTTACACGACGGTATAAACAGCATTAATTACGATGTATTTGCACGGTGTGATTTAAATACTGTTGTTGTACCAAAAAGTGTTACACAACTGGATAGCACTGCATTTGATAAAAATGTGGTGATTATAAGAAATTGAGTTATGACTTGTTGTTGTATTAACACTTAAAATAACGCCCTTATTTTTGTTTTGGCCTGTTTTTACAGTGATATTAATCCAATTTTTGATGATTTTCCTTTTTGGCTTGTGTATTGTTTATGCACATAAAATAAACTCTAAAAAATGGAAATTTATTTAATAAAGTCAATATTTCCCGATTTTTAGACCACTTGGATTTTATTTCAATGTTATTTAAAGTGTTACATATTTTATTAGTTATATCCCTAAAAAACAGGGCCTAACTATTTTAATAATAAAAAATAATTATATTTAAAATGAAAATATAAAAAATTAAATAATACTGTTTTTAATTTGTGAAAGAGCATCATATATTCAATCAGCAATTTGTGTACACATCAATTTAATACCAGTTTAAAGAGATCTTTAATAAATACCACAAACATCAAATGATTTTTCTCTTGGCTCAACAAATTAATTGATTGTAAATGTTATTTACATACTACCTGTCTTGTTGCGCTTTTTCTGTTTCCTTTTTTGTATACGGCAGAGTGTCTGGTATTTTTAGAATTGAATTATTTTAACAATTAAAATAGTTTTGTTTTATTAAAATTAAATAATAAAATCCTTACAAAAGGTAAAGTTTTGCATAATGCAGAGTGTCCATACTGTAAAGTCGTGGTTGTCTTGATGGTTTTATTTAATTAAAACATGTTTTTAACACAAAATAAATAATTTTTTAAAATAACATATTGATAAGAACAATAAAGAAATTTTATGTGTTTAAAGCAATTTAAAAAATATAATATTTTTAAATTAATATTAATTAACAAATAACCAAAAGATGAATTTTAAACTTCTTTATTTTGTTATTATTTCATTGATATTTTTGATATCTTAAATAAAACATTTTTTACTTAAATTAATAAATGCATTGAATTAATTATTCAGCCTTTTGGAAATTATTAATAAAATAACATAAAATAATAAATAGTTGTTATCAGTATTTATAAATTGTTTTAAGAAAAACAATTTTTGACACATTAAAAACATACATAATTAAGTTCAGATGTATATGTGTTTCATTTATTTACTGATTGAAAAAAAACACAAATAAATCATCATTTCAATTAAAAAATCAATTTGTTCTTGTTCTTATAATATTTTCTCAAACTTCGTATTATCAAAGCACCCCATCCCAATTTTTGTGATATTTTCCAAGTTAATCGTTTCAAGTGAAACACAATTATCAAAACAGAAAGGAGAGAGCTCTGTTATTGACAAGGGTAATATGACATTCTCAAGTTGTGTTGCACACGCAAAACAAAAGTCTCCAATTTTAGTGATGTTATTAGGTATTTCAATTTCAGTAATTGTTGTGTTGTTAAAGAACGCCCCCTCATCAATTCTATGAACCTTTTCATCTTTTAAAATATCAATTCCAAACATTTTTAAATCGTTGAATTTCACTTTCACGTTGTCACAGATCATTTGTTTTTGTTCAAATTGTTTATATAATGTATAACTGACTTCTCCACTATAATAAGTTGTCTTTTCTTCATTAAATAATATCAAACTCAGTGATGCACATCCCTCAAATACATCACTTCCAAATGTGATCTTATTGTTCTTAAAATTGACACGTTTGAGATTCGAGCAATTCATGAAACAACCATCTTCCACATTTCAAGTGATTTTGGAAATGTGAGGCTCTCAAGTGAGTAACAATTTTTAAATGCAAATTTGCCAATTGTTTTCAACGTCGTTGGGAAGACCATTTCTTTCAAATTGTAGCACTTCATAAACATGCAATGAGGAATACATTCAATGTCTCCAAAATTGTCAAACATGACAAAGAATTGCAACACCAAAAAACACAACTTTTTAAATGTTTGACTTTTGATATGAATTTCAGATTGAAGCAATTCATGAAACATTGTGAGTCATATAGCACTTCTTTTGACTCACAAAATACACTTTCGAGTGAGTAACAATTCGCAAAACACTGCTTCCCAACTTTCTTGAGACTTTGGGGGAGTGTAACACTCTTCAATGAAAAACTATTAAAGAACGCTTCTTCATCAATTTCTTCTAAAGTGTTTGAAAAAGTGACTTTTTGTAAGAAATGGGTGTTGTAGAAGGACGACTCGTTGATCTTTTTTGAAACTAATGAAACATCGACTTCTCTTAAATTGTATGACGCCAACTTGCAATATTCGAGTGTTTCTATTTGTGATGGCATTTCAAACTTTTCAGTGAAAGTATCATTCAAGTCAAATTGAGTTTTCCAGTAATGAGTGTTTTTCATTAACAAGTTTTTGTCTTCGTGGTTAATAGTTTTAATTACGGAGAAGTCGGCTTTGTCACCGAATTCATATAAATTTTGTTGTGAGTAATCAACATTATGGAATGTGTACCCCAATGCGTTCATTTGGAGATAAAACTTGTAGTCAACATCAACACTGTCAAAGAAAAATGTTTTAAAAGTGTTGATATCATTTTTGTTATTTTCCAAATTGTTTAATGTGTTTTTACACTCAGTAAATGATATTTTAGTGAGTTTGTGACAATTATAGAAATATACTCGTTCGAATATTTTTATTGTTGGTGGAAATACAACTTCACAGAGGTTTTTGTACTTATTAAAATATAACCCACTTATTTTTGTGACACTCGATGGTACTTCTATTTTTGTCGTCTCAAGAGGAAACTCGACGAAATAATTCAGTTTTTTTATATCGGCTGTAACACGATGTATAATATCTTGATTTTCAGTTTCTTTGTTAATATCAACATTGTGACCGTCTTCAAATACAATTGACTTCAAATTGGAGCATTTACTAATTTAATTTTTTCCAATTTTTGTGACACTTTTTGGGATGTACAACGAAGTCAAATTCTTTGAATTAAAAAATGCATTTTTGCCTATTTTACGTACATTCCTGGGAACAACAAATTTTTCAACTTTTTATACATAAAAACAATTTTCTGGTATGGCCGTGATAGTGTCTGGAAGTTGAATACGTTTCGCGTTGTTAATACAATAATTGTTTTCGTTAATTAAAAGTGCATTTTCGGGGAAGACAATTTTTTCGATGGGATTGTCGGAATCGTATAAATTGATGTTAGTATCGACAACGCTAGAAGGAATGTAGACTCTTAAATGATCGCTTGTGTAATTGAAATTAATTTCAAACACGTCCAAGTCGCCAAGATGGATGTAATCGGAAGTAACACGAATTTCATTGTCTTTTTCATTGAATTTTTCAAATTTAAATACCTTTTGATTGACTTCTTCTTCTTTCATCATGTTTGAAACTTTAATGTGAAGTCTTTCTAAAATCATCTTTTCACTTTCAGTTGCATTGTACAAGTGTTTCATATAATTAATTGGAACATCCAATTTGGTCAGAGAAATACATTGTTCAATGCACCCACCATCTTCAAACACAACATTTTCATTAAAATTGAGTTCGTCCAATTGTTCACAATTTTTAAATGCAAAACTCCCAACAAATCGGACTTTTTGTGGTACTTGAAATTGACAGAGTTTATTACAATTGGAAAATGCACATTTACAAATCATTTCCAAATTGGAAGACAGAGTAATTCTCTTAAGGGAAGTGCATTCTGAAAATGCCGAATCTGCAATAATTTCGACGGTGTTGTCCATCACAACTTCTTCCAAATTTTGGCAAGAACGACAGGTCTTTTGAGGTATACACTTTTTGCCACAAAATGTGATCTTTGTGAGTGTGTTATGGACAAATACCAATTCATCGATATACACGTCCTTCTCAACTGTAAAATCATTAAAAGCACACCCACTAAAAGCCTTTCTACAAATCAAAGTTATGTTTGGAACTAGGTTAACAGAAGTTAGCGACGAACAATTTGAAAAAAAAAAGATTCTGGAATTACTTCTACGAGTTTTGGGAGGTGTATCTCTTTCAATCTGCTGCAACTGTCAAATGTATAAATACCAAGTTTCATGAGATTGGATGGGAGTTCAATTGATGAGAGGTGAGAGCAGTTACTAAAAGCTAAATTTCCAATTTCAATTACAGAGGGCGGAAGTTTTATCGAAACTACTTGAGAACCTTCAAAAGATTGTTCACTAATTTTTCGCACAAAATCGGGAATTTTGTTTTTAAAATAAATTTGGTCTTCTTTTGTGTAAACAGAGAGGGGACAAACATTGAAATTGTTCATCTCTATAAGACACTTTCTGGCACTTTTCGGATAATTGAATAGTGATTTTTCAGTGTTTAGTTTCATATCAAAAGGAGAAAAGAATTGTTGGGTCTGTATAAACTTGAAAAGGGTTTTGTTTTGGGGGTAATTTGAACTGGATTCATTCTAAACGGTCAAGTATATATTCAAACTTTTTACACACTAAAATGATGTTTATAAAGTCTGCATATTCTTTTAAATATGTCACCACTATTTGAATGGAATAGACATCAACTCGCTTTGACATGAATTTAAATTATAGTTTTTTTATTAAATTTTTATTTAATGCTGTGATGATTTGCAGTTTTATGAGGCAATTGCACTTAAATGATAAAAAGAATAAATCGAATCAAAATGATCTGAAACTCGGGATTTTCAGAGTTTATTAATTTTTTTTAGGGATTTATCTTTTACACCCGCACCCCGCTATTAATAAATTATTATTTTCTCAAAATATAAATATTTCATATTATTGGGTTTCGATTTTAGAGAAATAAATAGGGTAATTTTTTATCTTTTTCATCTCAAAAAACTGAAAATATGTTGTCATTTTTCATTTCTTTCTATCAAACGAAAGTATCAAAACAATTAATTTAAATCCTGCTTTTTAAATACAGTAACAACCAATTCCATTGGTAGATACACTATTTATTCTAAAGTTCTCATTGTGAAAAATCACAACATTATAGAGTAAAACCTCTCAAAAGCGGGAGTATATGGTAATTTTTTCTCTCAAGAGCGGTCAGCTATTTAATCAAACAATAAAATAGCTCAATAGAAAACTCAAATTTTGGTTTTAATCTAAAAAGACACGCTCATGAAAGAACCCGCTCTACAGAGGTTGTATTGAATGTTAAATTCTTCATTTCATTTTTTGTTCAAGTTAAAGTATATACATTGGAATATAGACACTACAATGAGCAATAAAAATTTAATTTTTTAATCTCAATAAAGTACAATCGGACACATTTTTGAAGTTGACTACTCTTTTCGAGTGAAAAAAGTAATCAACTTCAAATAGCAACGCAAACGTTTGTGTTTTAAACTCTCATATCAATGTAGTTAATAATGAAAAAACAAAGTTCGATAAAAAATAAAGTAAAACAACAAACAACACAAGAGTTGTTTGAATTGAAATAAACTGTTGTCGATTCAATCAAATATTTTTTAAATCAACAAAGTATAAATTTGACCATTTAATAAAATACTTTAACATTGATATATCAATCACCAAAGAAATATTTTTTAAAATTAAGTTGCCAATTAAAAATCTATTTTGAGACACTACAATTGTAAAAACAACCATTGATAATACTGTAATTATATATCAGTTGACTCATAGTATAATGTTATAGGGATTGGATGTAATTTTTTTTTAAAATAAGGATGAGGTAGTTATTCAAGAAGTATGAAATATAAGCAGTCGTTTTGTTTTTATCAGAAGAGACGCAACGAATGTCGAGCTGTTTGGTATAGCATTAGTTAAGATTGGACTACAGGTGGTGTTATGAGTGGGTAAGTGATACAAAATTAAACATTTACAAGAAAAATCACACCAAATTTCTTATAATTAATTGAGTGTTTACATCCCAACATTTAACTGTGAGACATTAAAGGTGCAACATAGGAGTTTGCTTTGCCAGTTAGAGTTGAGTGGTATCTTACCAGTATGGTTAAATCCTGAAATTGAAGTCACATTCAATATTAATAAAAATGGCATTATGAATGACTCAGCAAATGACAAAATAACAAAATAAGAACACAACTACACACACAAACAACAAGTGAATACATTTAAAAGAATAGATTAATTAGATATAGTATTATATAAAACGTGAAAATAAATTATTATTTATGTTGTAACAACTAATACTAAACATCAAAAGAGACAACATTAAGAAATTAAATATCAACTCTAAAGTTTTGTGTGGTTTCTAAAAACTATCTTTATTAGTATGTGTTTTAATAACTGCGTTTTCCAAAGATTGTAATTTGTTGTTTTAAACAACATAAAACCAAAATTTTAATTATTAATGAGGTAAACCAAAGAATATAGAATAATTGTTGACTATTTGTTCTTTGTTTATGTGATTGACTTTTGATAATTCGTCGTTTTTCTTTTGGCATGTTCTAACCGAATGACCGACATATCTGCGATACCCACATTTATATACTCTCTCTTTGGGTTTAAACATTTTAGCTTGTTGTGAACATTCTCTAAAAGATTCGGGTAGTTTTGGTGGCTCTCTTTTTGTTCTGTTCATACTTGGATGTGTGACTTTTTCAACCATGACTCTGGGTCTGTATCCTCGTTGAAACTGTCTAGAAGGCTCAACCAAGTCGTCAACAAATTTGTCTTCCTTTTCCTCTTTATTGTTATTAACAATAGAAATACGTTTTGCTATTGGTTCAAAATCTGTTGATTCATCTTCTTTGGAAAAAATTGATTTCCTCCCACGTGAATCCTTGGTTACAACAAGACTTGGTCTCATTCTTTTTACTCCTTCTTCCACAATCAATTCGTTGATATGTTCCATCGCTTCTTTTTTATTTTGTAAAACATGGTTAACAAATTTATAATAGCACACTCTGAGAGTTTGGTCATCTTTCAATACATTCTCAATTGACTCCAATGCAAAATGCAAATCTCTACGACTTTTTGAGCATTTAACAGTGTCTTCTGTTTCAATAGTCTCTTTGGTGTGCACACAAATTGTTCTTTTGAAACATTCTTTTTCAAACAAAATCGCAGGCAGAGGGAGTTGATTTCTTTCAACGTAAAGTGCGATAACGTGGATACATGGGAAATTGTTGGTTCTAAAAGCCGCACATGAACACGATGCCATTGTTGTATCATCCAAGTGTGTATCATTACCTCCTAAAACCAAATTAAATAATTTCATTATATTTATTAACACTTCTTTGGGAAGTAGGTTTAACACATTATGATCGATAACACCTTTACACATTTCATAATTGAAACCAATTTCTAAATCAAATTTGGTTGCATCGGATTCAATAAGTTGTGCAATTTCCAACAAAGAAACTTCTTTGCCACCAAATTTCAACTTTAATATGCCAAAATAACCTTCTATGCAATTGGAAGTGGTTTGATTGGATATAACACATGTACAAGATGGTAACCAACTAGTCGCTGATTCTATTATACCTCTTACAAGTCTCATCTTTGTAATGGTATTGTCGTTTGTGGTGTGTTTGTCGAGTACGTCTTTCATTTCATTTATAATTTCTTTGACAATCATTCTATCGTCTATAAACTGTTTCTTGTCATATCCATCTTCATCCTTAATAAACCCAGTCGACTTTCCAAGTTCCTCCAAAAATTATTTTTGCCAAATTAAAAATTTAAATTCCAATTAAGGAATAACTTAACCAAATGATACCAAAAACTATTTTATTCGACAATTATTTTTTTTTGCTAAAAATTTATTAATAATACCAGTTTGATCTCTAAATACTGAAAAGCAATAATTGGAGACGCCTGCTTTTGTCTTTTTTTCAAAATTTTTATTGAAAAAACCATTACAGTATGAAGAATTAACTACCTGACGTGAATGAGCCACCTTATGGTTTTTTATATAGTTTTATTTGAAATATGTTTTTTATTTTAAGAACATAAAATATTTGAATAACAAAAACTGTAAATAACAAAATGTCGAAAAAAATGACCGAAAAAAGAAAAGCTTTAAGTCTTCAAGAAATCAGAAGAAACGCTTTTACTCCGCGTATTAACACTTCAATGGAAAGGGAAAAAGTTAACAAACTCCTTGAAACAATAAAAAAATCGGAATCATTAAAACAGTTTTTATTGGAGTCTTTAACAATGACAGAACAAATCAAATTACTGTCAAATAACACTGATTTTTCTCTAACAATCATGAGTAGATTATTCAGCATCACTCCTTAAACACTTTCTGATCATTTAAAAAACCCAACACTGTTAATCCAGATTGGCATTTTCGTAAAATAACAAAAAGAATGGATGAATATATTAAAAAACTCATACCATTATGTTCAGAAAAGAAAATTGCATTAACTAATTCGCTTATAATAAATATCTGTGAAAAAATTGATCCTTTCTTCGAAATATCACAGAGTGGTTTAAGAAGACACATGGAACATTTTCATTATGTGTGAAAATTAAAGCAGTGCCGGATGAATTGGAACGAGTACAACTTGATTTCATCCACATTTATGACAATTACAAATCATTGAAATTGTTAAATGGAACACCAGCAGCACTTTTTTCAACGTAGATGAAGTCGGTTTCTCTGATTGGATGGATAAACATAACATGTTTGTTTATGTTACCAAAGAGAAGTACAAAAAACTTAAGGATTCAGAAGAACCCAAAATTGGAGTTTCTCACTCATGCAAACGTAGCAAGTGTATAGCTTGTATTTCTCTTGATGGTTCTTTTGTAACTCCAGCAATTGTTCTTCCGAACAAGAAATATTATTCTGATCTTGAAGTGGATTTTCCTGGTTGGTCATTTTATTATACAAAAACGGGGTTTGTCATTGGAACAATTTTTCAATTGTGGTTAGTTAACCATCTCATACCACACATTGAAAGGACAAGAAAACTGTTGTATTTTGAAAACGAAACAGCGGTCGTAGCAATGGACAATTTCACAGGTCATATTAGTAGTGAAATGACCCAGTTTGCAAGTCACCACAATGTCGTTTTTCATTACTTCGTACCTCATTCGAGCCATCTTGTCCAACCACTAGATTTGTGCTTTTTGGTGTTACCAAACAAGCCATGAACACAAGAGGTTCAACAACAATTGAGGAAAGGTCACTTCCTTCAATCCCGACTAGCATGGTTGAACAAGAAGATGAGTTCCAGAAAGGTTTAAGTGATTGGATCCGAGAATTGAGCGATAAAGACGGAAGACTCCACAATTCGTTGAGAACGTCTGATACATCAAGAGAACCAACTGGTATGCAAATAACATATCACACAAAGAAGTGTTGGAAGTAATGGAATCAAAGGCGACGAAAAAAGATAATAGTAGCTTC